TTGAAACCGGGATGTCAGCTTGGTAAAAGTTATACTGGTTTAACGAAAACTAAGGTTCATTGTGGAGTATTGGATATCAAATTTAAAGTGTCTTTTTTAAAAAATTATGTTCTCCCAAATCCAAGGCGCAAGGCAGACTGTTACTGTTGAGGGGTCCACCCCTTTTTATACAAATGGACTCACCCAGTGTATACTTATACTACTTCCAGTAAATACCCGAGGGTCGAGTCGAGTCGAGTCCAGAGTGACAGAGTAAAAGGTTGTAGGTAACCGGAAGAGTGAGGGGTGAGGTAACAGCGTTGTAGGAGTCACAGTGAGTGAGCACGTAGACTCAATAAGAAGTTATACAGCGATACTTCAATAACAAAGACTGTATAGACATTTTGCTACTAACCCGTATTCCTGGAACTACTAACCTGCTTTACCAGTTTGTATTATTACGTTAATACATTATTTTCCTATATTGATTCTTGGCGTTTGTTATTTATTGGTACCGGATTTCATCCCGGAATTCACAACAGTTACTAAAAGGGGTGTGCAATGGAGGGTGCAATAGGAAGAAGTGGGAAGTGAAGACTACGAAGAAGAGGAGGATGCATAAGGAATGAGACTGGAATTGAAGAGATTAAGATTATAGTGTTCGGAGAAGCATCCACGGGAGTCTTCACCAAAATATAGCTGCCACCGTGAAACATCCTCCTTGAAATGAGAACACGTGGGTTATGAAATTGATTCATCTCTGTGGACGTGTCAGGGAGGGTCTTAGCCGTTAAGGGTTTCAACTAAGAGGAAATAACGAATGGATCACGTCAGAGCATTCGATATGGAAATAGCGTCAGAGTCGCGATAGGCTTGCGAGAAAAGGGGGTGGGGGAAGTAGGGTGGATAACAAGTCATCCTCCACAAAGCAATATAAACAATTTTCAATTATGTCATGGATAGATTCTGAAACTAAAGTGTGCTTAGATCTTTATCCATGACAATGATTCAAAACATACATCTAAATTAATTCAGAAATATCCTTAGGATAAGAAGATCAACGTTTAACATGACTGTCAAAGAATTCTGACCTGAATCGAATCGAAAACTCATGGGGTGAATTGGATAGACATGTAAGCAAATTGCTATATTCTTTTTGCGCACCGTATTCACGCATTGTTCATCTAATAAAGGCGTAACAAATCATTATCTTTTTGTCTAAAGTCTTTTTTCCTTCCTTCGATATCCTTAGACATGTTTTCAATCAGCATTTTACAGAAGACATACTGACAACACCCTTCTTGAAAGAAAAAAAAACTAAAAACAAACATCCAATCTTTCAACATACACTAAAACCTCGTTTCCTTGGATAGGCTTAACAGAGCTGAAAATAGGACAATCATTGAAAGAAAAAAATTATTACTGATTCGACATTCAATAGAACGATTCATTGCATGTCTTTATTAAGCATATTATTGACACAGAGCAGAAATAGTGAAGTATCGTAAGGTTCAAATAGTGAGGTATCGTAAGGCTCAAATAGGGATGTATAGTAAAGCTCAAATAGTGAGGTATCGTAAGGCTCAGATAGGAATGTATAGTAAAGCTCAAATAGTGAGTTATCATAAGGCTCAAATACGGATGTATAGTAAAGCTCAAATCGTGAGGTATCGTAAGGCTCAAATAGGGACGTATCTTAAGGCTCAAATAGGGATGTATAGTAAAGCTTAAATAGTGAGGTATCGTAAGGCTCAAATAGTGATGTACCGTAAGGCTCAAATAGGGATGTAGAGCAAAGCTCAAATAGGAATGTATAGTAAAGCACAAATAGTGAGATATCGTAAGGCTCAAATAGTGATGTATCGTAAGGCTCAAATAGTTAGGCAGTTAGGTAGTTAGTAAGACTCCAATAGTGAAGTATCGTAAGGTTCAAATAGTGAGGTACTGTAAGGCTCAAACATTCCACCCAGTGAAAGAGAGAGGCAGCAAATAATGCTTAGAAACGGCACAGGAAATATGACGCTAAATAAAAACAAAAGAAATAAATGCTAGCAAGCAAAATAGGAATGACTCAATGAGAAATATGCGGGGTTAGAAAAACTGCAGAATAGATAGATCTCAGCAGACATACAAAAAAACAAACATTTCATGCTGATAAAGAACGAACTTAACAAATACAAAATTAGAAATATGACTTCGATGCATTTTCTCACCCAGATTTATTTAACCTTTACAACAAAACGATTTTATGAGGGCAAGAAGTATTACTATGATTTATTATTGGCAGATATAGTCATAACAATATAAGATATGTAAATGACACTTAATTGATTCAGAAAACTATGAGAAAAAGTAATGTAAAAAGCAATAACTATTAACTGTAAAAAATAGAACCGTGTGGTTATGAACAAAAATAGAGTTCAAGATGCGGACCAGCTATCGATTAAGTACATCAAAATCAATCTAGTGTAGAAAATGAACTGTGTAGTGTAGTAAAACAAACAACGAAGAGTGTTAGAGAAATCCAGAGTTGAATTGCAGTAGTGAAAGATGCCTTTCAGAACCTGAGAAAAATATTAAGAGATCGGAAAATGTCCTTAGAAACAAATAAAACAATGCTGAATTACCAACCTCTGATATACGTATGATGGTGTTATGGTCCAGGTCCTTGTACCACGGTGATGGTCCAAGGTAGAATCAATAAAGAAGAACTCGAACACGGATATGGAATAACACAGATATATTACAAACACGAATATATACAGAGAAGTAGAAAGTGTTAGTACGAACAATCAGGTTTAGTAGAGAGAACAATGTAGTCTAGACCAGTATCACTATTCCAATGTCTTATAGTAATTGTCTGAACGCAACTCTGTTTCGGACTGCCTATGACTCGACTGACTGACTCACTCTGACTGACAGACTTCTGACGGACTTCTCACACCAGACTTCAGACTGAACGGTATTTAGTCACCCCCCCACGAGGGCATCGTGTGGCACAAGGCCGGTTTAACGTGGGATCTCCGCGCCCGTGGGCTCGGCCAAAAATATGCCGTTTGAACCGGTATAAACGGGTTCAGGGTCGGTTTACCTCAACGAAAGAGACTCCGCCCTTCGGCGTAGCCTCGTTCGGGTTCCTCCCTGCCCGAAGGCAGAGAGTTCAACCGATTAGCCAGTCAGCCGGTCGTCTGACTTCAGACTGAACGGTATTTAGTCACCCCCCCTCCACGAGGGCATCATGTGGCACAAGGCCGGTTTAACGTGGGATCTCCGAGCCCGTGGGATCGGCCAAAAATATGCCCTTTGAACCCGTATAAACGGGTTCAGGGTCAGTTCACCTCCCCGAAAGAGACTCCGCCCTTTGGCGGAGCCTCGTTCGGGTTCCTTCCCGCCCGAAGGCAGAGAGTTCAACCGATCAGCCGGTCAGCCGGTCGCTGAAGAGAATTAAAGCAAAGGAGTTGTAGTTCTACTGACGGGTGTTGAACAGAACAACCCACAAGAGCATCGCACACACCGCACTTTCACTGGTGTACACCTATACGGACAAATACAGACAGAATACGATCTTTTTCAATGCTATGTTCTTTCAGGATTTAGACATAGTGAGTTCGATCCTCACCGTGTGACACATACTTTCGGCCTTGTGCCACATCTAAGAAAGATCGCCATAGGTGTAGTGAGTTAACACAAGCGCACACAGATATCAGCAGTAGGGTTTAAGGCTCTGTTTGGTCTACCGAACGCTGCAGATATGAGAGTTCTGGATTGGTCACAAAACTATCCAATCGTATTGTTGATATTTTCTAAATAGTCCAAAATAACACCTAGTTAGTCTACAATTACGACCGCAAGAATTTTGGCAGTGTTTTCCCTTGTAATGATTGTTTATCAAATAAATCTTCTGGTGGGATTTTATTGGTTGAAAAAAGATATATATATATATATATATATATATATATATATATATATATATATATTAAAGAAAAACAGACCACTTTTAAGGTTCCATTATAATAATTTATTTCACCAGAACCCTTTTAAAGGACGCCGGATCATCCTTGGGACTACCCATACGGATTAGCAAGTTTTTCATAACTTAACTATATATATATATATATATATATATATATATATATATATATATATATATATATATATATCATTTAATTCCTAAAAACTCAACGTCTTACTGAAATAAAAATGGGTTTTCGACAGAAATCGAATCTGTATTCCCTTTTCCCATCAGATTTGTTTGTTTGCTTGTTTCAGAGTCGGATTTAGATGGAGACAGGTCCTAGGCTTTTGCATTTGTGAGCCTCCCTCCCCCTCCAAATGCCCCATTCTCACGAGTAGAGGAAAATGGAAGAGCATTAAAATAAAAAAAATTGAGTAAAGCCGAGGATGATGACGTGTGTTTAAAATTACTGAAGGTTTATTTAGAATCTACATTATGCGTTATGGCAGCATGTGTAAGTAAGGCCTATGACAGTGTCAAAAACATTATACACTGACTGGCGACCTCCTAGATTTAAGCCTATAGTTAAATCCGGGACAGCTTGTGTTTGTGTGTGTGTGCTTGTGTTTGTGTGGCTGTATCTCAGTTTCTCTATGCGTATGCATGCTAATGTCTTCCTGTGTGAATATGTGATGATAAACCTGTATATTTGCTTTCTCTTATAGTTGTGAAGCTTTAACTAGGTCTATAAGACAATGATGGATGTTTGTATCTACTTGTGCACCATTTATAAAAAAAACTAAAAAAAAAACAAAAAACGATACAATGTTTCTTGTGGGTGTAAAAACGCATGATTTATTTTTTTAGAGTCATTTTCTAATGAAATAAATTTAAAGAAAAAAAAAGTTCTTTAGTTGCTTTTGAAATTCACGTTTAGTGTGACAGACAAGCTGCAACCGGAGGCAAGGTTATTAAAAGAAGGTAATTGTCGTCTGCTTGGTTTCTTTATCTTTCCTAAACAAAATGGAAGCACAGTGACGCCATTCTGTTCGCATCCGACTTTGAGATGCTTTCTTTTTACAATTGTAATGTCGACGCGAATAAATCCTTAATCAATCAATGGATATCTACTGTGTGAGCAGTGATTATATGCACGATGTTATGTACGCATGTCTCCACGTATTTAACGACATTTTGTTTTAAGGCTCTTTTAATTTCTTCTTTCCTCTCTTTTAGTAGTTCTCCGTTTCGTTTTTGTCTTTCATTTTGTGTGTTCGTTTCTTTCTTGCTTTCTTTCCTTCTTTCTTTCCTTCTTTCTTTACTTCTTTCTTACTTTCTTTCTTTCTTTCTTTCTTTCTTTCTTTCTTTCTTTCTTTCTTTCTTCCAAAAGTTTTGTTTCTTTTAAGTATCGTTCTTCCAGAAGTGATTCTTCATATCTTTGATGATTCTTTCATAATTTTTGTCACTTTCTTTATCCTTCAAAATTTATTTTACTTTTCTTTCTTTGTTTTTTTTCCCTCTTACCCTTTCTTTCTTTCTTTCTTTCTTTCTTTTTTTTATCAATTTATTTATTTACCTATTTGTCAAGATTTTTTTTATACTTTTAGTACAAATTCAGGATTGATTGTTTTTTTCATTCTTTTAGGATTTTATAAAAGATTTTCTACCTCTTTCTTTTTTTTTTCAAATATTTTTTTTTCATTTATTTCTTTGTTTTTGTCACCCTTCCCCTTCATTCTATCTATCTATCTATCTATCTATCTATCTATCTATCTATCTATCTATCTATCTTCTTAGTCCCATCATTATCTATCTATCTATCTATCTATCTATCTATCTATCTATCTGTTTCCTGATGTTTATCTATTTTACTGCATTTCTTTCTTTCTTTCTTTCTTTCTTTCTTTCTTTCTTTCTTTCTTTCTTTCTTTCTTAATTTCTTTCTTTCTTTCTTTCTTAATTTCTTTCTTTCTTTCTTTCTTTCTTTCTTTCTTTCTTTCTTTCTTTCTTTCTTTCTTTCTGCACCAATTCTGTTTATCTTTCTTTCGGGATCCTTTTAAAATTTTTAATTTTTCTTTCAGGATCCTTTTCATTTTAATTTTTTTTTCATTTCGCTCTTCCATTTCTCTCTCTCTCTCTCTCTTTCTTTCTCTCTCTCTTTCTTTCTTTCTTTCTTTCTTCGTTGATTCTGTTTAACTTTGAAGTTCCTTTTATAATTTCTATATCATTTTTCAAAATTTATTCTCTACTTTCCTTTTTTGTCTCATTTACATACTTTGGTATTTGTTTTTCTAAATACGAATTTGATATTTATGCATTCTTTTTTTTTATTCTTTCTTTGTATCTCTTTCGGGTCTGCACCGATGTGATCGGTGCAAAAGAACTGAAATGAGAAACCCAGCTCGGATGCATGACACGTTTTCGAAATAAACTTTACTTAAATTGGGATACCTTGATGTAATCAAAAGAGATTCGAACATTTAGAAGTCCTTTATTATCTATCTATCTATCTATCTATCTATCTATCTATCTATCTGAGTTTCTTTATATCTGTTTATCTATCTATGATTATTTATATATATGTATCAATTTATATATATGTATATATCTATCTTTGGTTGTTTCGGTCTGTCTATCACCCTTTCATCATCGAAATCTATCTCACTTTCTTCATATCTATCTATCTATCTATCTATCTATCTATCTGTTCAGTTTCTATCTATCTACCCATGTATCTATGTATCTCTCTCTCTCTCTCTCTCTCTCTCTCTCTCTCTATAGATAGATAGATAGATAGATAGATAGATAGATAGATAGATAGATAGATCGTTCTGCCGGTTGGGGTTCAACAATAAACCGTCTCAATCCCCATTGAGAAAGGTAAATAATCTAAAGAAAGAAGCCGCTTGTCTACAGATATGTCTACCTTTTTGACTATCGTTTCTGAAATCTTCTTGCCTTTCCGATTTCCGTGCGAACCAGATTCTATATCACTATGTTATTGATTCTTGCTCAAGTCAAAACTGTTTGACTCTCGTGCTAAATAAACATGTTTACTTTTCAATATTTTTGTAATACAGAACTATGCCAAGCTTTTTCTGACTTTCGGGCAAAGCAAATCTTAGTCTACCATTTTTTATTGTATGGCAGAATGCAGCCTCAAGTATCCTAGAAAAAGATTGATATGTTATCGAACAAGCTGTACCCTATCTTTAGAAGAGGCAGATCAGACCAAATGGGATATTGCTGCCATATTTGGGTTAGAGTTGCCCACTCCTCATTTACATGTCTTAAAGATCAAAAGTGTCTACGCAGCCTTGTGGATGATGAATTCATTTCCACACTTTCCCCACAGACGAAACGTTGCGAGCTTCTCATTGCTCTACTCTTATTTCCATAGCATCTCGTCTGACGGGCTATATTCCTTGGTGCCACCTGTACTGACCTTTGCAACTGGCATCCACCACAGAAAGATGAATCATCTACATTGCATTCGTATTCCATTAGTAAGGAGGAAGTTCAACTCGGAGAGTTTCTACCCAGCCCTGATCTTTACAACTGGAACTCCTCATGCCACGTACACAAGTATGAATCATCCTCATTCTCTTCATATTCCATTTGTAGGGAGGAAGTTTAATTCGGACAGCTTCATCCCAAGAGCAGCTGTTTTCTGTAACAGACTGCCGGCAGGATGTTTTCCCAATCACTATAATCTTGACCTCTTCAAGTCTAAGGTTAACCATTGTCTTTTTTGCATCGCCCCGTGAACTTCACTTCTTGACTTTTCTTACGTTCATACAACATCACACAGTAACACTCTACGTTGAGTGGCTCTTATACTTTAGATAAATAGATATGAAGAAACTGAGATAGAGAGATAAATAGACATGAACAGTTTCTGATAGATAAACAGATATAAAGAAATTAGATAGATAGATAGATAGATAGATAGATAGATAGATAGATAGATAGAAACTAAGAAAGAAAGAAAGAAAGAAAGAAAGAAAGAAAGAAAGAAACTGAGATAGATAGATAGATAGATAGATAGATAGATATGAAAAAACTAAGATAGATAGATAGAAAGAAAGAAAGAAAGAAAATTACGAATTTACATGCTTGAAGTAGTGTCAGTAACTCATTTCAGGAAAATAAATTGGAAGTCCATAGTTTTAATGTATTATCATGAAGAGGAAATTATAGAATCGTCAATGTTTGTCTACTCACCCTCCGTTAAAAATAGACTCTTCTATAAGAATTAGCTTTGACCAATCAACACCACACATTGTGAAACTCGGCTTGTTATTAGTCGAGACGACCCTAGAAAGTGTATCCATGGTCAAAAATCTGTTTTCCCGCCAGGCTCCTGGGAGCCTACTTTGGTTTCCCAAAACAAATAAAAGGACGAATTTCAGTCCAATTCACCAGTCAGACGTTCATTCCTAGAGAGATGCCAAACTGACCCACGCAAGTCAAAAATCTGACCAACCAGGAATTTGCCGCGCAAAATATCTGACTCAACAATCAACAAACACACTCTATCTCTCTCAAGAACATCACTTACGATACTTTGAAAAGTGACATTTTCTTCTCACTACTTAATAAGTATTAGTAAACAAACAATCAAATTCTCACACAGCTAAAGGTACGCAACTCCTGCCAAGTATACAAACAAACTTACGCACACACACCAATAACTGATCTAGCACAAAGGACAATTTAGTACGTAACTGGACACTTAGTTTAATTTTGTGAACAAATCTGAATAGCAATTGCAAACACCTTCAAACATCCACAATAATATTCTACGCAGCCAAAATATATCTATTCTTATTTATCCATTAAAGTTCAACTCAATTGTATTCTCAAATTGTATATTAATCTTACTTATTATAAAACGCAGATTGTGTGTGTGTGTGCGTCTGTACGTTTATATATTGGATCGGATTTCCTACATTTTTCAACCGATTTCAACAAAACTTCACAGGACTATGTAAAATCACCTTGCGGTGGTTCTGACAGCGCCAAAAATTGGAAAAACACAATTGTTTTTGCACGAAATCAATTTGAAAACACGATTAAGAGGCATTAATGAAAGGGGGACAACTCATATCGAGTTATACTTATCAATATCGAGTTATTAAAAAACCCAGGTTGTTTGTGTGTGTGTGTGTGTGTGTGTGTGTGTGTGTGTGTGTGTGTGTTCGCTTATATATGGGATCGGATTTCCTACATTTTTGAACCGATTTCAACAAAACTTCACCTTTTTTTGACGGGCAATGTTTCTTATTGTCTTGTACACTTTTTTCTTTCTTTTTACATTCAGAATGCTTTAAAAATTCCATTTACAAGACAATCGTTTATAATAAAATTCTATTCAATCGGTAGACTCATAACAATTGAAAACAATGTTTTTGTTTGAGTTTGGGTTTGACCAATTCGTAAAAAAAAACTAATTAAGACATGCGTGTCCGTCAACCTTAAATAATAATCTTTCGTCCCCACCACCCGTTATTAAAGGCCATTTTGAATGCAGCCATTTCGATTAAATGACGTTAGAAATATTTTCAAGAGGCATTAAAAAATCGAATTTTCACACCCACAACAGTAATGTCGGTGGATTAGTGGATTTTGAATGGTTAATGAACTATTCTAGTTGTTGGGATGATCTTGAACAGAAAATCAACAACTGCTACTAAATGTTCCAAGAAATGGGACTCAAAATAAACATTTCCAAAAGAGAAACTATGATCTGGAATTGAAATGAAAGGATGTGGAAATGGTAAATGCTAAACACTTCAAATACCTCTATATATGGATCAGTTATAACAAATTTAGTAGAGGAGAAAAGGAAATTGAATGTAGAATAGGCTGTGCCAGAGATAGTTTTTCACAACACCACCAATTGCTACAAAACCAAAACATTAGCCTGAAAACTTAAGTTATTATTGTGAGACCGGAAACTACCTACACAATAGACTCTTCCAGGCCTATATTAAGTAGATGACATAGCACTCTAGAGAGTGACAGAGAGTGACACAGAGAGACAGTGAGAGTCTCGTACGACTATCAGTATTGGACCCTAACATATAGTAAGCTCCGCTTACACTATCTCTGTAACCTGTTGTTAATATATCTTTCTTACATCTAATCCGTGTTCCGTGTTTTCCTTCTGTGGTCCCAACTTTGGCTCAACATCATTGGCGACGAGGATTCTAGAAACGCACTCACGGTGAAACCTAAATATCTTACCAGTCCCAAATCTGTGTCGACGAAGAATTCGAGATAGATAGATAGATAGATAGATAGAAAAGAAACTGAGATAGATAGAGAGAGAGAGGGAGAGAGAGAGGGGGGAGAGAGGCATGCACTGGGTACAGAATAATATCTCTAAAAAGTAATGACTGTTTATTTTTTAATCATTCACAGTTTTTTTTCCCGCGCAGACACCCACACCCAAATATGTAAATATACGCGCGTGTCTATAGCTTTTATTGATGTTTATTGCAAACTGTCACAATGATTCGATTCAAACGTTTGAATGTCTGCACACATTTTATCCATCTGGACAGGATAAAAGATGAAACACGTTTGAAATTCTTTCTTCTGATGTCGTTTTTCAAAACTTTATATCGTTAAATAATTTGAAACGTTTAGAGAATTAAAGTTGCTTCATCCAGATCATAACACAAGCAGACATGTTTCATTTCAATGCTCTTGTTTTAATGGAATAAATATCTTTTCTCTCAGGAAGTTTGAAATATCTTTGGAGTCTAACGTTCCTAATAGAATTATGCTACGAAAAATACAGACCAAATATCTTTATCTTTTTTTATTACAGAATTTTTAGCTCTTGCGTTTCTTTGTGTTTAAAAGTTTATAGTGGCGTCGGGTTCAGGGGTTAAAATGAACAGTTGATTTACTCACACCAAGAAGATT